GGAAAGGAAAGGAAAGGAAAGGAAAGGAAAGGAAAGGAAAGGAAAGGAAAGGAAAGGAAAGGAAAGGAAAGGAAAGGAAAGGAAAGGAAAGGAAAAGCAGACATTATCATTTAAGGCCTTCATCTCTGCTAGCTTGCTCAGAGACTGCTCTCTCTTAAAATGAGAACATTTACCCCTTCTGGTAGAGTCACCAGAGAGCGGAGCTAGACAAAGCAGGGTCACGGTTAGGGCTGCCAAGAAGGCCAAGCTCCGGAGTGCTGGCCACGGGGCACGGAGCAGCCGTTTCCCACAGCGCGCTCCGGGCATCACCTCCGAATCTCCTTGCAGCCCTCGTTGAGCGGGGCTGGCATTGCGACCCTCCTTAGGAATATCCCACAGATGTAAGCGCACCGGCAGGAAACCTGAACAACAGCCACTGCGGGGCAGGGTTATAAGCAGGATTATAGTCTCCATGGGGCAGAGATTGATCTAAAATCAAAATAAACCATCCAAACTAAAAAGAATTGAGTAACAGTTTGCTAGCACTGAGTGGGACAGGAGAAATATCTACCAATGGATGCAGCTTATGTATGCATGGCACTTCTGAAGTGCTTGCTTCATACCATAGGGCTAAAATGAGAGAGTGGCTTAGCCTGCTCTGAGAAGCATTTTTAAGGTCCTTCCTGCTGCCCTGTGTAAACTGTTAATAATATACTAATACAGAAAACAAACTGCATTATTCACTCTGTGTCTGTACCTACACACAGAATCATGTACACAAACATCCATACACTGTGTACAAAACAGGAGATGTACCAATATCTTTCCTAAAATATTAGATTCATGTTAAGCCTACTACACCCACACTCATGACGAAAGTTCTGCCAAAGGGCAAGGCAATATGTGTACACCCATTATTTCCAGGAAGACAGGCCATCTTTGATCTGAAAGGGATACCAGCTTTTCCAAGGCAGCCCAGGCTCTGAAAAGAAAGCTCTAGCTTCGAAATAGTTCCGATACCCTTTTCTTCCGTAATTCACATGAATAGCATAAATCCCACTGATAACAATGTTGTAAGCACAGAATACTGTTGGAAAATCCTTCTAATAACAATAATTTTGATACTACCACTAGCAAGATGAAAATGTTTTCACTGCTGTTAACTGAACCTCCTAACTAATATAATTAAATAAAGTTCATGTTGTAGTATGAATTATTGGTAGTGACACAGAGCATTTCATGCCAAGGATGCATATACTTTTTTTTTTTTTTTCTTTTTCTTTTTTTTTTTTTTTGAATGTAATTCAGTACCTGTGTACATGTATATATTTTTACAGAAAACCATTTCAAACTATTCCATACAATAAGCTTACTTTGGAAATGCAAATTATCATAATTCTTGTCATGGCAATAGGTTTCCTTCAAAATTCGTACAGTATTCTCCAATTCTTTCAGGTAGGTGTGAAAGGAAAGCTGTGGCAGACATGTGACAGGAAACTATCAAATGTATTTTCTTAACAGTTTGTTACTTTTAACAGGACACAAATGAGCAGGCAGAAGCAATAAAATAAAACCTTTCTTTTTCTCTCCTTCCTTTTATAAAGTACCTCAAACTTTCTGAGGGATCTGAGTGTCACCAAGAGCAGGAGAAAGCACAGCAGTAACGACTGGGTCTGCAAAGGCAGAGTAACACTGCAGGATCAACTCATGTGCGGCGGACGGAAGAGCTAAAGCTTCTAGCAGTCCCCAAAATAGCTCATATTTAAGGTATGAACTACTGAATGGTGTCCTGTTTTCTTTTTAAAAAGCATAAATATACACCAGATGCCCTGCACAAATACATTGGCTTTTCCCACAGAGGGACTTGCTAGTGATAGAGTAGCCTGTCGAGAATAGGCACTTATCTCAAGAATTGGCAAAAATAAAAATAAAATTAAAAAAAAAAAAGGAACATTATTTGGTATGGCACCAAAATCCAAACATTGTGCTTTCTCACATACATATGCTGTACAGATGAAGGCTCAAACAGACACAAAGTTTTAGGTTGTTGGTGGATTGTGTTTTTTCTTTTTGCTTCGGCAAGATTTGCAAATGCAGCAAATGATGCATGGAGACGCCACGAGCAGCAGGGGAGAGGTCACCAGTGCTATGATACCTAACCCGACGAGGATCCCCACAACCTGAAAGACATAGAGGGGGAAAACACCTATTTAGCTAACTTGGAAAACAAAATATGCATGAAAAGCCTGGAAATAATCAAATCATCACAGCCTTCTGCTGAAGGGGAAAATCTCTTTTCTTTAGGCATGTGTGATGGCTCTGCTTGGCTGCTCCGAACCCACCTGCGTTCTGTTCCACATCACTGAGGCACGCGAGTGGCCTAGTTTGTTCCTGCAAGGGCCTTTGTCGTAATGTCTTAAGAAGATATCGTTCTGAAAACAAAAGGACAAGTTGTAAGAGCAGATTTCAGTAACTTGGGGAGGTATTCAGCACTGGAGCTGAAACAAAACTTTCTTGACACGACTGTAAAATCATGTGCTGCAGACACATTCATCTGTCTTCCAAATAACTTTTTAAACAAACTTCTTGCAGTTCCAAAAGATGTAGTCTTTTGGAGTTCTGAGTTACTATATAGTGTCTTCTCTTCCTCTCTTTTAAAAAGCATAAGCTTACATATATGCATTTTACAAATAGCTAATCTGGCCCTGCACTGTAAGTGTTGATGATGAAGAGGCCTGTAAACTTCAGGCATTTCTGCAAGCTAGCAACCAGGGACATCAACTTCTTGAGGTACTTGTACCTCCCGTTGTCCTGCTATCTCTATACTTTCCGGTCATTTTCTTTCTAGATTTAATTGGAAGATTATGTTTCTTTTTTCTTTTCCCAGTGATATTTATTAAACTACAGTTTATCCTAAAAAGGTGGCCTATGCTTTGCATTACTCTCCCCTGGACAGTTGAACTGTAGCATAGGCACTGCTTTCTCCTTCATTCTTCATCCTTCCTCTTCCATTTCGTATCACTACATTCATTTAAACCTACATTCTCTTTAACCATGCTCATTTAGAAAAGCGACACACATCTACAGTCCCATTCGTTTTCCCTCTTGAACTGATTAAAACTTGATAAAGGCATGTCTACAGAATCTGTGAAAATCTGACAGTCTTCCAGTTCAGCGTCGTGTTGAGCAATCACTGTGTACACTATGTACTCTCAGGCAAGCCATAAGACTGATGTTGAAAACACATGCTCACACATACAAAAATGAGACACAACGCTAAGCAAAACCTGCTTAGCATGCTGAGGAAAGGAAGGACGAAGAATGAGGAAATCTTATCATTTGCTAGCTATGGCCTGAAAGAAAAAATGAAAATCCATGTACCATTTAACACCGTTTTACGTCAAGTGCTGGTAAAGTTCTTTTCGCACTCCCACAGTTGTTACTGATGACCATACCAAAAAGAAAAGCTGTCATAAACACAAGTACATTACATGTTCTAGTTTTAATCCTGTTAGGAAACTCAAAGTCCAACAGAATCAGTTTTATTTAGTGTCTTTTGAGAAATGCCTAGCAACCTATACTTCATAACTTGCATTCATAATTCACCATTTTTCTTCTCAAACCTACTAACTAATTATTCTCTTCAGCAAACACTGCACAACAGTAGTACTAGAAAAGGAGAGACTTGGTTTACAAAGCTCTTAATGTATCCTCGTTTGAAATCAGCTCCTTCATCTAGTAACATACCCCTTTTCCAGGCAGGCTATCATTATTAGGGTTGGAACGGGTGGGAAAAAATATTTCTTTGACTTTCAACCAAACTTTTTCTGTATCCTGCACCGAAAGAGGGACTCAGGAAAAACGTATGGCTGCTATGGGCCACCAGAAGGCAACCAGTCTGTCCCATGTGTTTCACAGAACTATCACCGAATCCACGGACATGCCTCTAATCCTTTATGGAAAAACGGATACCAATATAGCTAAAAGCAGCAGATAAATTAGAAGAAAATGAAGCTAGAGTCTGAAACAAGCTAAATCACTCACTAGGATATCGATAAGTTGGAGGAGAGCTTGTACAGGGCCTGAGGCTCTAACTCAAACCTCCTGCTAATCTGAAAGCATTTTCCTGTGGCACTTACATCCAAGTTCTGTAGACAGTACCAGCAAAAGGTGTGCTTGCAGTTCTTGCACATCATCTGAGCGCAGCCTTCGTTTCGTTCAATATAGATCCGACAAACAGGACACTGCTTTATCGGTGACTCGATTTCCATCCTGATAAGTGACCTAGAAGGGTTACAGAAACATAATGTTAAATATGAATGCAATTACTGTTCATACTCAGCTCCACTGTCCAGTATGTGCAGCACTTATTTTCCAGAGTGCCTAATTTTGTAGTCTTAATGTGCTGAAAGCGTGAAGCTTGGCAGTAGACTATGCTCAAGTACACTCACTTGCAGGTGTCAGACTATTCATACAACATAATAGCAGAGACCCACAATCACCACTGATTACAGCCAGGATCTTACCACATATAGCATTAAATATAGCACTTTTTAAGAGAGTTTGCATAGTTCATTAAAGGACTGGGTTATGAGACTCATAGCACTGCTGTTGCTCAAACAGAACAAACTTAAACTCCACTAAAGCCAAAGATAAAACCTGGAGAAGAAAACATGGTAGGGAAAACTCTTTGGCAACTCCTGCTTGAAAACATATACCAGAAACAAAATGCTTATATTTTAAGTCTTTTATTTGTTGAAAAAAATAAGAGAAGCTTTTTAATACACCTAACTGAATTCAAATGGATTCTGAAAACAAGGATGGATAGTCATAGGCATTATATAACTTTGAAAAAAAAAGTTGTTTATTTCTGTAGACTATAGACCTCTGCATCCTTAGCTGTGGGTTAGTTACACTTACAAAAAATAATCACAAAAAAACATCTCAGGCACACCAAGTGAGACGTGTCACATTCACTTTGCAAAAGAGCTCGGCTTTGTCTATGCAGAGATCCTATAAATACTTAGCAGGAGCTAATCACAGTAAGAGCACTGTGTGGGTCCAGTTATATAGTAAGCTAGGTATTGTGTACTGGTAAAAGGCATGATTTTAACTTGCAAACAAGATTTGGCGGGCTAGGCCTTTCTGAAGTGTCAGCGAACCCCCAAATTTGGTAACTCTCCAAATAATAGTAAAAATAATTAAATATATCATTAAAAACAATAAGAATTACACTGGAATTATATTTAGGAAACACCAGCAGAGATGGACAGCATTAGGGATGCAACCAAGGAAGCTGAAAGAGAGGCAATCCATGAAACTTATGTGAGGTACTGAATTAGCACCCAGCGCCAAACAGAACCGGGAGACGACGAGGCCTCCGCGGGCTTTCCCCTTACCCCTGTTCAGTGGATATTACAGCAGCCTGGTTGCCCTGGCAGAGGCGCTCCGGGTGCCATGGCTCCTCGCAAGAGGAGCAGAACCTGAGGCGGCAAGCCGGGCACTCCACGGGCACGGGCTGCCCCGACTCACTCGGTTCAATGTGGCATACCGCCTGGCAGTCCACCGCAGGGCACCACGTCCTCCGAGGGTCCAGGTGGACTTCTGGAATGGAAGTGAGGAAAAAAAATGTTTATGCAGTTCTCAAATGGACTTTTGAAACATAACAGAGAGGGATGAAGCTGTTTATACGGTCCCCTTCGCATTCCAGTGGCGTTTTACTTAAGCACTTAAGACCCAATTTGGTGCTTGTGGAGGGAAGTGGAATCCCTCCGTGCCTACTTCTGTGGGTGTCCCAGTCTATTCCTCTTCTTTATGCAGGCCTGGAATTCTGTGCTGCAAAGGCAGCTGTACTGGAAGCATCTCAAGAATGCAATACACTACAACAGGCACATTCTTCATCTTTTTTTCTATCAGATGTTAGTGTTAGTTAATCGGGATACATCAGGTAGCCTCCACCTTTTAGATCCAAAAGCACAGCTAGCAGAGATCCATTGGTACAGTGGGCTGTATCTGGAAGATGAGAATAATCATTACTCCAAAGCTGCTTGTCTGTGACCTCAAGAAGTTGTATAAAGGATGAACGTAACTGCTGCTTGCTAAGAAGAATGTTCCCTTTATAAAGTGAGGACAACGAAAAACTTTTCTTGTTTTTCCTGTAAACAGTGGGAAGGTCATGAAATGAACATAAAGTTGGTTTTTGTGCTTTTCCCTTACCCTCTATCTATAAACTCAGATCAATAGTCACATCATTAAATGATCATTATTTGTCAGACATCAGATTATTAAAACAACCAAGATAAAATTATGGCTGTAGACACTAAATTACAGAAATTATTGCACAATAGTGTATGGTAAATGTTGACACTTTCCTTCACTCCCTATCCTTTATTCAAGAAACTTGGACTTGCAGCAGAAACCCAGATATCCTGGGTTCAACCCTCTTGCTCTAAGAGGTTCCACTGTATGTGAACATTATGCTGTTCTTTTCCATGAGTTGCAGTCAGAAAACTGTGCACCTACAGATCCTGCCTAGAAAAGGACTGTAGGACCTACCTGAACTTCCTTCTTCCCTAGAAGCCCTTTGGTACCACCACTAAAACTTGATGGAGGGGATGTCTCAAGAAACAGGGATGCACTGACTGTGATAGAGACAAGCTCCTCTTCTATCTCCAGCACATAAAATATCAACCCATTTACAAGAAAGGGCATAAAAGGGTCCTTGAAAATGACCTCTGATAAATTTTGCTGAAGCAGTTTAAGGTGTTTCCTCCCATGTGCACCCACTGTCTGCACTGATGCTCTGCAGGAGGTCACTAGTAGCCCATAGGGAAGGTGGCTGGTGGAGCGATGCCTAGAGGATGCTCCAGTCAGCTTGACACACAGTGAAATCAGTTCAGCTCCCAGTTACCCAGAAACTAGAAAATATACAACTAAAAACGTGCTAGAAAAAAAAAAAAAAAAAAAAAAAAAAGAAAGAGGAAACAGGTGAAGATGACTGTCTGCTTTGGTGGCTGCAAGACATGCAGTCAACTTGTTGTGGCTTTAGGTAGTCACAGGTAGTATTTAACTCTGGGTCAAAGTGTTCTGGCAGAGATGGAGCTGTTTTCCACATCCATGAAAAAGGCTTTAATCTGTAATTCAAGCAGTGCCAACAAAATACCTGTACTGGTGGTCTCCTCTGGCCACTCCAGGAATCTAATCTCCTTATTTTCCCCATTCTCTTACTTGTCCTTCCCTCCCCCTTCTCCTACAAAAACACCACCAACAACAAAAAAAGAATCATTTTTCCAAGACTGAATGAAAGACAAAACAAAAGAGTTTGTATTTTCACATGTGTGGACAGAGGGGAAAAAGGATGGTCTGTAAAATCCACCTCAACTGTTTTAAGAGTAGTGTCCTAACTAAGGACAGTTAGCTTTTTTTTTTTTTTCCCCAACTTATACTCAGTATCTCTCCAAAAATGTGCTGAACCAGGTAACACCATGTCCTGGTAATAGCTATTGCATTAAAGCCATCACATAATGTGCCAAAATGCAAACAGAAATGCAATTTATGTTCATAAACAAGGTTTAAACAAGTCAAAGTGCAGTTCCTGCAGATAGCTGTTTAGCATACTCAGTTTTGGAAACCTAAGTTCTCATATCCTGGTTTTGGATGAAGGACAAGATGTCTGGTTTTGACATTCACTGGAAGGAGGGGAGCAGGCTTATAAATCTTACTGATTTTTACAAATTTGTTGCAGCAAGATGTAAGTGATGCATGAGAAAAAAAACTCTTTCCTCTCCCACTTCCTCCATTTTACAAAGAACCTACAGATGGTGTTTTGCAACCCATGCTGTCTCATACTGTTTGCTTTACCATGGAGCACAAATGAAACCAGAAAGCTAAAAAGGAGCCAAAAAATAAATAAATAAAGAGAGAGAAATCAGAAGATTACTCCAACAAGCTGTTCAATCTTTTGGTTAGGACCATTTCTCTCCCCAGCCTTCCCACAGCTGGCTCAGCCATATTCACGTTGCTCTAAGGAAGAGGGTCTTCCCAAGTAATCTAGTAACCAGGGAGGCCAGGTTGACCCATCTGGCCCATTTTCACAAGCACGGGAGCAGGTGAGACAGGAGGCATTAGGCAGACTGTGGAAATGCAGCATCCCGAATAAAGGAGAATCTATGGCTCAGGAGAGGTACCCACTGAAAGGATAAGAAGCCCATGCACTTTATAGAGTATTAAGAGCACCTCTTTCTTTCATGCTCTTGGGTCTGGCATACATCATTCACCAATTTCTCATCATTTATCAGTAGGATTACTAGGCAATTGCTACCAGAGCAGAAGTATAACACAGACATCCTAACCACATCCTACTCCTCTTTCTTTACTTGGTTGTTTCGGATGGCCACATCATCCTTGTTTCAGATGGCCACATCATCCTTGTCCTAGACAGACACATAGCAATTTCTGTGTCTGCTATTAAAATAGATTAAAAAAAGCCTTGTGACCAGGTACTGACTGGTTACATTATATGTAAGAAAGCCTTCTTAAGCCTGAAAACATTCATGTTCTGAGAACGTAGGAAACAAAAGACCATAGAATATTTTCACTGTATTCCTAACTAAACTATGCAAGTAATGAAAACATATGTGATTTCATTTTTACAATATTTTAACCAAATATTGACTGTCAAATATCTTAAAAACGGGGACATAGAGAAGAAGGATATTTTATGAAATGAGCTAAGAGAGACTTGGGAAAACAGATGAGCTTACAGGTATACAAGTCCTTCTTCAGGTCTTTAGAATTTTAAAAATCACCTTTTGATTGAGATTTTCTCTAAGGATGAGAAGCATAGGCTTTACTTGAGGACTGGTGAGGAAAGACTACGGGACAATAGTGAAAAGAATTAGCTATGAAGTTGATGACTAACATTTCTGGTAAAGCAAAGGGGATGCTGAAGCAAGATAGATACCAAAAAAAGTAAAATAGACTGATAGAAATGAAAATTGAGAAGGAAAATAAGGAGACTGAGAAGGAAAATATCTCAACAGAATAAAACTGAGAAAAAAAGAACGTGAAATACAGGAAGTGGAAGAGTCTGAATACAGAGTTTTGTTGAACAGAACAAAAGTAATAAAGGATTCCCTAGCACTTGCCTACTTTAAAAAGCAGAATTTGGCCTGTAGCCAAAGATCTGGAAACCTCATTGCTTTCCATCTCCATCTCTTCCTGTTTACCACACTTACTTTTTTTCTCCCCACCATCAAAAAGTAGCTAACCCAAAAAAATGATACTCTTATCTAGTACCTGTTCTGGAAAAAGTCCTAAAAAATAAGATGAAAAGGAAGACAGAAGTATTTCATATACAAAGTTTGTCTTAATTTTTAAATAATCCCTGAAATGATACTATTATATTGTATTTCATTTCTTTGAAATTTCATCCCTAATTAAGTAATTCAAATGAATTCCTGGTCTTTAGAAGGTGCCGCTTGGCTAGGCCTCTGGCTCACTCCAGCTCTGCCCACTCACCTGCATCTTGACTAGAGCTCACAGGCCTTGAGGGACCGGTCTGTGGGTCAACACAGAGCTGGGTGAACTGCTTTTGTTGCTAGATCCAGGAGCAGAGGCCAAGTGTGATTTCAGACTGATTTGAGAACGGATCAGGAGGCTCCACATTGGCTGTGGTTGCCCTTGAGAGAGGCCCCAGTGACCCAGGCTTTGCAGAACGCTAGGTTTGAAACAGGCTCAATTGCACTAAGGCTGAGATTGGGTTCAGTGCAGCTGCCCAGGTCAGAACTCGGGTTAGCAGGAAGGTTTGTTCCCAGGCATCAGAAAGCTAAATTTATTCCTGGGAGCAGGCAAGGCCAAAAGGCTTAGTTTAAGGCTGCTACTTGGATGCCAGTTAAAATAGAGGAGAAAGGCTAGATCTTATAAAGAGTGTAGTGGAGGTGGAGGAGGATTCATCAGACTTGGATATTTAAAGCACAAAGGAAAGGGAAGGATTTAAAAAATAGACAAGTTATATGATGAGTGGGAGAGAGTTAAAAAAATAAAAGATACAACAGGAAATTGAACAAAAGTTCATGAGTTCATCTTTGGCTAGTTATAGAGGAGATACCAGGAAATCATTAGCTTCCCAGTCTTCAGTTTAAAAAAAAATTCTTATATAAAACAGACTAATGTGTTATAAGAATGCCTCTCTTCCTTAACCCTTTAATATATTGATTTAACAAGCTCTTTTTTTTCACAGTCTATTGCTGTGAACAAGTCACTGCTTGACTCACAAACTGGAAGGAAGAAATTAAGGGCAAACTAGAAGAAAGTAAAATGAGAGAAATTAAACCAGAAAGTGGGGTTTGTCTGGTTCATTTTGCATTTTTGGGGGGAAGGAGGGTGAGGGGGAAATTGTGTACTTCCTGTGTGCTTGCAACTACAGCTATAATCTGCATTTGTTTAAGAACTCTGGGATATACTTGGATACACGTTTTGTTGTTTTGGTACTTCATGGTCATTCGTCATGAACCTCTGCATCTTTATGCATGTTCACAATTTACCTGCTTCTAGGCATGCAGGTGGAACATGGGCACAAATACGGTCTTTAGAGGAAAGCTTGGAAGAAGCCAATCTTTCATTAGGCCAGATCAGTCCCAGACACACGCCTTGGAAACTACTGTAGCGTGACTATTTGGGAAAATCCTACAACTTTCAGTTGGAGCTTTCAATTTGCTCTCAGTCTTTATCACCAATGTGGAACTTCAACTTGCTGACTAGTATGTTAAGTTTCTTGTTCAGCCTTGACAAGAAAGTCTCCTGAGGCAGAATGCTGACTTCTGTCACACTGAAGCTTAGACCCAGTAAGACCCTCAGTTTCAAGCCTATTTACTAAAAAGCCCTAGGTCAGTAATGAGGAGACAGATGACCCCTCACTCAATTTTTAAATATACTAGAAGAACATATACAAGGCTTCTTTTGTAGGGATGCTTGCATCAGACAAAATCCCCATCAGGCAATAGGGTCTGTCTCCCTCTGAAGTTCTGAAGATCCCTTTGGACTTAGGAAAGGGCTACATGACCCCTACACCCCAAAGGAAGCCTCTGGTACCTTCTCTAATTCTTCCTCTACCATCATAGCCTCAAGAATCCGGGAGAAGCATGCTGCAAGGAGGATGACGTAGCCTCACACATGGAGCCTGAGAGTGTTTCCCTCAAGTCGGAGTAGAAGTGCTGTATTTCATGCAAAGCGTTGTTGATTCTGTTCCATTGAAATCAGTCTTGGCTGCCGAGCAGAGTTACAACCCATGATTATAGTTAAACTATTTCAGAACACAGATTTCACCACAGTCTCTTCCCCTACTCACCGGACAGGCTTTTTCTTAAGGCAGAGAGCACTGCACTATTTAATATTGCTGCCTATGTTGACACTTTAAAATTCGAGGGAAAAAAAAATAATAAAGGTTCGCACCTCGTTCAAATTTCAGTCTCTTGTATAATTGAAACTGGTCAACAGGTACCAAACAGGCAATCTGAAATGAGAAACAAATGGAGAGGGAAAAATGTTAAAAACAGAAGAGACTTTTAAAAAAAAAAAAAAAGAAAAAGAAAAAAAGAGCAAGCACCTTTTGATCTACATGCCTACATTCCTGAGCTAGATCTCAAACCCATATTCTTTTCCTGTCCATTTTCCATCTCCCAATTCCTCTGTAACTGTCTTTCCTTCTCCAAAGCATACAGCAGTTATTGACCTCTCTTATTTAAGCCACATAGAATCATAGAATCACAGAATGCTTAGGGTTGGAAGGGACCTCAGAGGTCATCTAGTCCAACACCCCTGCTCACGCAGGGTCACCTAGAGCACGTGGCACAGGGAATAGCCTTTTAGTCTGACCACATGGTTTTTCTGTTTATTTGTTTTTTACTATCCACAGGAAAGTCATCTTTGTGCATTCTGTATCTATCTCAAGTTTCCCATTGTGTTTCATGTTGGTATAATATAACAAGCAGTGACAGACTGCCAGTCCTAGAGATTGAAGTCTGTTGTTTATACTCAAGAATACAGACAAAAGGAAGGTTCCTCATTAAAACTTTAATGGCAGAGAGGTGAGTTACCTCTCAGGAACACAGAAGCTAGTGTGGTTTCCAATAGTTTTAGCTAAGATTTATGACCCTCTTTAAGACTAATACACATGTATATGGTGTAAGGAGGTGTTCAAATAAAACTTCATGGTTTCTCACGAGTTTAGTTTAGCAGATTCAATATCTAACATTGTTCTATTTGATCCACTCATAACATGGTACATTTTCTATCAACACCAAAAATTTCTCTCCAGCTACCTCAATATCCTTCTCTTCTAATAATACAAAATCTAGACTGATACCAAAATAAGACCTGATCTTTTGAAGCATGGTGAGCTCACAGTGAAGCTCATCATGAAGGGCTCCTGATCAGTAGCCCACTAGAATCCTTCAGGCTACTGTAAAAGGCAAAATGTTGCCCTCAGAGAAATGAAAATGGGCATTGCTATCCTCCAGGGTTGTGTTGCAAGGCATTCACATGAGAAAAAATACAAAGAGCACATACACACAAAAAAGCTGCTGTCATGCTGTGAATACATTTTGCTTCTTTGGATGAAAAAAGTAAAGAATATTTTCATTTGTATATTACATGACCTGAAATCACTCTAAGATCTCAAATAAGTTGGAATTCAAATAGCATTTCAAAGGCAGATATATGGATCATTTATGTGACTAAACCAAGATCATGTCAAAAAAATGCCATTGATGTCAAGATTTAAGTGTTCAAATGTGCTTAAAAGATCTATAACTGAAGTAAGCAGAGAATTTGACAGCAAAATAGGAAACTTTAACAAATCTTTAAAAAACATGGCTTTAGCTTAGCAGAGTCCTAAAGGTCAAAATATAGCTTTCATTCTGAATTTTAAGTACAGTATAAAATATTATATTATCAAAGTATTTTTATGGGATAAACCATATTCCTCCAATGCAGCTCTAGGGCACAGTGAACTTCCTGAGAAATTCCTCACCTGTTAATTAGAAGTTGGCTGAAGCATTCTTGAAAAAACAAACACACAAACAATGAAATCTTAATCAATCATGGGGAAAAACAAAGAGTGAAATTTAGCAGCTTCAGCAAAGAAAGACGCCAACCAATAAAATTATATAAAATACACAAAACCCATCATTGCAGTATTGCCCACTCTCCCCAGGGCAGCTGGAAATCTAAATAGAGTTCGGAAAAACAAGAAGCAGGCATCTGTTTTCCTGTAGCTTGGTGTGCATTGGCAGCTACTTTAAAAAATTTCTCTATCATGACTAAATTAAAACAGTGAGTGTCAATACTGTAAGATTAACAGCCACTTGAGTGGATAGTTTAGTTGATTGGAGTGTTTTTCTTCTTGCTCTTGTTTTTACAAAGAGTTTCAAATAGTTTCAGGATTATTTTTACTGAGCCCAGGATTTCCCATGTATTAAAAATCAGCCTTTTTAAATTCAGTCAGAGCACAGTTCTAATGTGGAATTCAACAGACTGTATAGTCCATATAGAGGGTTTCCTTTTCATCTATTTAAAGCCTGGACTTACCATGCCAGTCTTTCCCTCTGGTTTCATCTAGCCCCACACTGAGGATATCCTATGTCCTCATCTCAGCTCAGACTCCCCTTCCCCACACACCGCTTCCAGCATTGGTCTAGCACAGCCCATCTCTTCTGCCATGGACTTTCCCGAGCTTCCAAAGACCAACTCCTGATATCATCCACGTGGAAAGCAATCTGAAAGATGGCAAACTGAAGCCCCTAACAGATTTAGTATCTTTATGCCTGAGGTAGGGAAGGCACAATCTGTGACTGCCTGAATTCAGAGAAATGGCACACCTGTTATGCAAAACTCACTTAAAAAAAAAAAAAAAAAAAGAAAAGAAAAGAACGAAAGAAAGAAAGAAATGTGTAGAAAGAAAGAAATGTGTTAGTAGCAGGACTCTAGTCCTAAAAAGGAGAGAGATCAAAAAAAAAAAAAATCCAGCAAATCCTTTCTTCAGGGAAACTTTAACTTCATTTACACTTAATAATGAAGCAAAAGTTTTTTTCTTTGTTTGTTTGTTTTGTTTGTTTTCTCTTTTGGTCCTCCTACACAACATCAGATCCTTGATTTTCACATTCATAACATTTCTCCAACTCCACCCGAGAGTCCATCCCAAACACCTCCTCTCCTGCAAAGCTCCACACACCTAAGGGCTCAACAGACGAAGGAGATCTGGGGCAAGAACCAAACCAGCAACACAGTTGGTGGCAAAGGACCAAAAGAGGAAGAAAAAAAAAAAATATATATATATATATATAACACATAACAAGATACTGCTTATTCTTACTTTAGGTTAAGAAATCACTCAGTGTAACAAGGTCATCTGAGAAATGTCACAAGATAAGTTTTTGGGTTGTTTAATGGGAAGTTAAAGCTGCAATAAAGACCTCTGAAGAAAATGACAGAATTATAGAATCATTAAGGTTGAAAAGGACTTTCACGATTATCAAGACCAAAAGTAAACCTTCAACATCATGCCTATTAAACCATGTCCCTAAAGTGCCTCATCTATACGGTTTTTTTGAACACTTGCCAGGGACAGTGATTCCACCACTTCCCTGGGCTTCACCACTCTTTCCATGTAGAAATTTTTCCTAACATCTAACCTGCACCTCCCCTGGAACAACTTGAGGCCATTTCCTCCTGTCCTATCAGTAGTTTGTCTGGAGAAAGTAGTTTTGTCTGTTCTCACTACAACTTCGTTAAACAACAGGACTCTTCTCTTCTGGAAAGATGCTGATTTGAAGCTTACCAGACTTTTGAGAGTTGATATAAACTTTCAGTTTTCCTATACATCTTAAGCAACTTCTGCAGTTATACAGTGCTGCTGTACAGAGCACAGTTGTACTTAAGAACAGCAGCTTTCACCTGTAGTAAATATACTGATAAAAAAAAGGCAAAAATTTGCAGGTTCATTATCATAAAAGGCACCAACTGGACCCTTGCTAAGTGTCCAACAATTTGCCCAATATGGTGCAATAACTGGGGATGTTATTACTCCATGAGACAAAAGAGCAAAGAAAGGCAAATGAAGAGGTTTGAAATAATTTGGTTTAGTTTACACAGAGCCAGACTGCTCCTCATCACTCAAGCAGTGCAGTAACTAGGAGCCAAGGAAGAACAACTGGCCTGTTTTTAAACACTGGCTACCACAGTGGAAAGGGAAAATCATTGCTCCACCTATGCTCAGGCTTTCAAGGGAGATGCAAAGAGGCCATCAGGAGAAAAATGAATAGATCCTACTTCCTTTCACACCCGTATGAATCAAGCCTCAATTCTGCCTAGACATAGTAGTTCATGAGGACTAGTGCTTCTCTCCTTAGCAGATGCACAGCAAGGACAGATCGGGCACTAGCAGCATCACTTGGGCTGCCCCAAAGGGTTGCACTACTCATTTGAAACAAAAAGAGAGGCAGCATATAACTTGCTTTGGGATTTATTTAAGAACTGGCAAATATGAAGAAGAAAAGTTTTAATTTCGACCCTGAAAAAAAGAGAGGTCTCACTGCAGGACCAATTTTCAATTTAGAAATAAACCGAATCCCATTTTTTTGATTTTTTTTTGGGTTTTTTTTTTTTTTGCTCAGCTATATACAGAATATTGCGCCACTCAGAACTGTAAGATCTGGGTCACTGTCCCATTTCAGCATGTCTTTGCAAGGCCCTGGCAGCCCTGGGCGAGGTTAGGCTGGTGCAGGTCAGGCACCTCCACGGGCCCAGGGACGCTCAGCAGCAGCTGCCCTCAATGCAAAGGGGAGATGCTGCCTGCAGACTCACAGGCAAAAGGAGGGCCTGAAGCAGGCTCTCTCTTTGGACCCACTGCACAGTATTAATCAGATTACATGGGTCATGGGCATCAGCTCTGCAAGCTGCAGGACAGTGCAGGAGTCAGAAGCGGCAGAGAAACGCAAGCCCCCAGACACCACCTGCGTGAGCTGCACGTCAGAAAGCCCTGCATGCACTAGAGATATATCCTGCTTCATGCCAAGAAGAACCATTCCAAACCACGATAAATTACCCCTGATTTAGATTAGGCCCAATTAAACCAATGGAGCAAATTCCCAGCGGAGACTGGAATATTCGAGATGGAAGCAAGCTGCATAACCTAAGATGTTCCTTCTACCTCCTGCTTCCAGGAAGGAATCCAAATCAGTTTTGTTTATTGTACTATTAGATCTCAAATGGACAAACAGCTTGTTTAATGAGATTGCTTTTAAACTTTCCTTCTTTGCATAAGCAGCTATTTGAAATAGAGCCTGTAGCCAAAAGCACTGCCTCCCCATGAACAACACCCATTAATTCTGCTTTAAAACAAGCTATGCTACAAGCAGCTGCTGTCTTAACGTAACAGGTCAAGATCTGACCTAGGATTGCATTTGATTTCACGTGCTCCAGTGGAACAATTCCTTCTGTTTGAATGCACTGTTTGTCCAAAACACAAACTGCCAAGGAACATACCAGTTTCAGCTAGATTTTGTTACAGAAAAAAAATATATATATATATAATATATATAGGAGCTTTTTAAAAAACATTTTAAAGATATACTTTTTTTTGTTTCAGTGATTCCTCATTATATTAAGAATAGAAACCTTGAACAGTTTCTTCTGTTCCAAAGAAACAAAATGTTCTATCTCTACAAAAAGAGTTAAGACTGAACTCCCCCAACTTCCTACATGCTGCATATAAGCAGCGGAGATACTTTCCTACTTCTCATAGTTCTTAGTATTTGGTGACATATATGAGAACACATTCTACTGCTTAAAATTTATGTTTTGCCCAAACAAAAAGCAACAGAAGGCTGCATAGATGTCAGAATCAAGTCAAGCACAGAGAAAAGGCTCTAATAATTCAATACTGAACAAGAAACATTCATTTTACCGAGAAGCTACAACGTACTTTGGTTACAGTGAAGTCAGAGAGGTCACTGGAAAGCACCAAAAAAGTGTTGCACACTTTGCATGAGGACCTCAAAAAGGGAAACAGAGGAGCTATCATAAATATAATATGTATTGCAAGGTATATTATTAATCGCTCTGTTTCCTCAGTGAAGAGGGCTCAAATCCAAAATGCATTTGAGTCAATGTAAATACTTTTCTTCACTTTAAATTATGTCTTAAGTTCACCTTATCTCCTTTGTGCAGGCTAGGGCAAAAGGCATTTAAAAAGCAAACAAGACAATTGTGTTAGCTAACGCAATTAGACACAATTTAGCCCAAAGTATAGAAACCAATTTAACACGGTTCCCACGAGAAAGATGGTTTCATCTGCTATTTTTTTCTTCAAACTACAACCGTATCTGATTAACTTCATTCACAGCAGAGGCTGAAATGGACACGGCCTGAAAAATGCACCTTTTCTAAACCCTCATATTAACAAGAGACAAGAGGGGAGATGGGGGGAGCCACACAACTATTTCCACCCCCATTACAGGCAATGGTTAAAAAAAAAAAAAACAGAAAATGAAGCCAATAAAACATTAATATGTTTTATTGAGATCAAAAAAAGAAAACTTTAACTACAAAAGGATGGCTATCACAGGTATGATATTCTTCATGGCACAGTTCTGGTGAGGAATTTTTTCCTCCCAGAAGTTGGAAACCAAAAATGCAGACCCTTTGGAGGCAAGAAGGCTCATACATTTATGTCTCAGGTTTCAGATCCCGTAATGAATTCTACCTACCTGTATTTGTAAACAGTATTTCCATGCCAAATAATTATTGTTTACCATCTTGTTTTGTATTATTGTTTACTATCTGAATGCAGCTCTACTCTTTAGGCAATGGCTTCAAAAGGCTATATTTTCTCAGAGAATCATCTTTATAGATAATAACAATAATAAAAAAGAATACAGAGAGCTCATAAAATCTATAGCTCACATACTAAACTTTTAAATTAATACTTTTTTTTTAGGTATTCTTCATTAAAGAAAAAACACTAGTGAAATACATAAGCTGTTCATTTCCACCAGCCTGCGGGCTTGTTTGCTTGCTTGCTTTTTAAGCAGAAGGCTCATGCTGCAGGTGTGTTGCCAAAAGGGAGCTCCAGAGCGTTCACTCATTCATGGGCCATTAATGCACATCTTGGGTTGTTCAGTCGTTCAGCCTCTGGCTCCCAGAAGCACCCAAGGAATAAGCTAATGGTCCATTAACACATGTCCTGGAATGTGCTCCTGCTTGCTATGAGGAAATACATCTTTACAGTTCCTACATCTTCACAACTCTGGCTTAACAGAGTAGAATTCTTCCTAGTATTTGGCATGTGTTTTTGAAACCAGTATTTGCAATTAAGGCTAGTTGCCTTCAGTCTGGTGTGGCAGGTGGGACATGGGTAGGCCCCGTCTGCTCCTGCATGGAAGAAAGGAGGAAAGGAAACAGCCAACTGATTCTCATGAGAATTGGATTCAGCCAAAGCAAATCCCCTCCGTATGCCTGCACGCTGTACCAGATGTGACTCCCAGGGCCTGATTCAGCTAACCACTACACCTTCCATGCTTGCTGGTGAGGAGGCTGTGTGCTTCTCCAGAAAAAAAGTATTTCTGGTAACCCTCTCCATCTCAGTGGGAGAAGGTATTATCCCCATTCCCTCATATCAGCAAAGCCACAGCAGCTGGGGTTGTCTTCTGCACAGCTCCTCTGTACTCCTTCCCTGGCCACAAGCAATTCCCTAGTGATTCCCCACATCTGCCACGGCTGAGATCTTCCTGGCTCTGCGGCAGAGCAGAGAGGGAGAGCACAACCACCAGCCTCACCAGAAAAAATGAAGACTCTAAACTGAAGCCTTTTTGCCCTTCTACGGGTCTATCACTGGTATGCCTACTTGAAGGGAAAATTCCATTCTAAAATGGATGGAATTGAGTCTGTCCCTTAATGCCGCATCCCCAGTAGAAAATAACCTAAGATACTTGTGAGAAATAATTGGGTTATTAGGATCCACTCCCATGGATTTTACAGAAAAGCAAAAAGATTTTTGAAGGAAACAACTACAGTTCACATTTAGTAGGGAATTCCACTGCCAACAATTGCATTTGAATAGGATTAGATTCATGTAGTAAAAATTATATCCGTTGAATACATTGGGCTGAAGGATACCCAAAAGGTAATAAATTGCTTTTCTGTAGTTTAGGGATGGAGATATAATTCTCCTTGATTTTCCCCTGCACACAGGCACAGACAGAATGCATAAAACCAGACAAAGTCCTTCAGCCACTTTTCTCTGCCTGTATTTCCAGGCTCAGCAGGGGCCTATCTGGGTCTCAGAGCAGGCAATAGCTGCATGACTACATCAGATTTTCCCTCCATTTTCCATGGCTGTCTAGATGCACAGAATAGCTGGCACCTATAAGGGTTCCAGCCACACTGCCAACAGCTCCTCCCCATGCCATGGCTTTGGTGCTAAGCCCATTCTAGAAACTTTATACCATCTCTGAATGAGCCAGGATGCTGTTGGAGCATTTCTGAGAGGCTTTAGGCAGCAGCTTAAGGGTATTTACAGGCCCCTTGAATACCTTTACACTGAGTGTTGTAGGAAGGCCTACGGAGCACATTTTCTCCTAAGCTTCTCTATATGGAGCCTTCAAATGGAGCTTTCGTGTTGCTCCAGGGGATAGTGCACATGCCAAACAGCTGCACATTTCACTAAGTCCTCTCTCATCTCTGCCTTGGGACTTAAGACACTTTTTTCACCTCTTAACTCCAACTTCTACCCAGTACTGTGCAATAACCTTTCTCTCAGTACAATTATACACAGTCTTAATGTTTTTCTGTTGCAGTCCGACACGCAGGATGAAATCCTGGCCCTGATTACAATCAGTATGAGCCCCTGCCCTTGGCTTTTGAGAACTGACGGAATTTCAGTGTTCGTAGTCAAACCAAATCTGATTTAATTGACAGCATTAATGGAGATTCAGCAGTTCTGGGATACAGGGTACCCTGGTTAAGTCACCTGCATGAGTAATTCAGGGGCTGTCTGGATGCCAAGTAAGACTTTCCTCAAGACACAGGGGAAAAGAAAAAAAAAAAAAAAAAAGAGCAAAACCCTTGAAAACATCTGTTTGCTTCTAGTTTCTCTTGTCAGTCAGGTTTCCTGCCAGAAGCTCATTAAAGGTAATTAAAGGGAGGAAAAAAGTATATTATCGTAGTTATTACACAGATAAAGAAAAGCAGTTTGGGGGCTTGTATAAAAAAAAAAAAAGAAAAAAGAGAGAGAGAGAGAGAAGTGCTGATAGTTGATACCTCTGCTTCTTGTAGGGTCCCATGGTTCAAGCACACCACATCTGGACAAGTGATAGGAGAGCCACAACCTTCTTGAATGGCCAGCTGCATGTACTGTTTTAGGCACTAGGAAGAATAAAAGGAAATGATAGTTACAATCCACATGTTGGTAAAACAGAGATGCTAGAGATACTGCGCAGCTACTACCTCCACTTCCTTAATTGGCTGTCCTGAAGCTCCAGCACACAGAAAACATCAATTATCACAAGTCTGAATGCTACAGGCCATTGCGTTGGAAAGAATGCAACAAAGAACACTTAATTATGTATGACTTCATCTGCCGAGCATTGCGTTTACCCAAGTCAGCAAGTCTGATCCATCAGCGCTAATATCTAGACTCTGCTAAACCAGGGTTGGGAGATGGGGGGGGATTTCATCCTAATTAAAGAGGCTTTGTTTTTCCTTCCCTGTTCTTAGTTCAGACTCCATTGTGGGAGTCCTCAACTACAAGGAGACAACTCCTGTTCTCAGATAAGTAAAAGGGGGAAGAGGACACTGCCTGGAAAGCTAACCCACACTAGATGTGAAAGGGTCAGTTCCCTCTTCCCACTGCAGGTCACTGAAGTAATCAGGCAATTTCCATGATCTGCCATCCCCTTGTGGTCTATTGAGCAAGAGTTCAAAATCCTCTTCCAGCATGGAGACCTTCTTCCAAATGTTTCCACACTGCCTCACTGCACAAGCATCACAGGCCTTTCCTCCTTCTCCTACATTTTGCTTGGCCTGCCAGCTTCCAGTATCCCCAGTTTGCATGATAGGGGCCCACAACTCCTGCCTATTTCACACAATTCATACAGACTTTAAAAAGAAAAAAGTCCCCACCCCTCTTCTGCCTCTGAGGACAGCTAATGAGTTGAGCACTACCTGATTGTCTCTCCCTAGGGCAGCTAATTTGGATCTCTTTCCAGTCACCTGTCATTTTTCTAAGGTCTTGTAAACTCTTTCTATTGCAAGGTCTTCGAGACCTCTGCCTGCCTGCCAAACTGGTAAAGCTTTGGAATTCTTCAGGACAGTGGGCTTTTTTCAACATTAATAGGCATTCAAGCCTATATGAATTTGGACCATTCAGATAAGGCCTTGCATAATGTGCTCTGATTAAAAAAAAATCCTCATTTGTATTTTTATTGGAAGGTTGGTGCGCTCTTAAATGTCAGACTGTTTAGGAATTTTCCAAAAAGAAATGAGGTTTCCTTATTATTCTGTCTAGCTTTCCACTTAAATGTCACTGTCCACACCTTTCTGTTTAATTCTGATGAACCTTGTAGAGAAATTACTTCAAAGCAAGTAGAATCTGCTTAGCTTATTGGCATTTTAAATTGAGTTTACTTTTGATTTGTAAATAGCTGTAGTCTAATTACCCTGGGGCCCCCAGGGCACTGTCACATCCCTGCACCAAGTCACTCCCTAGTCTATGCCTGCACCACCACCCACCAGGCTTAACACCCACAGAAAACACTGCCCTCCAGCTCCTGTCCCCAATACCCCCCCACTAGATATCTTTCCTAGTTATGTGGGTGATGTCCCATTACATGCTCTTTGCATCTTGTTTCCACCACACAGGGGAAACCTGGTTATTTTCTGGATCAAATCTCACAGCAGCATTTGGGGGATGGGGCATGATCCCCTCCAAATCATTTGGCTTGCCCTAATTCACCAGCAAGCCCAGGAGAACAGCATTTTACTTTAAGCGAGATCCTGGCTTCTGTCTCTTCTGGGACACCGGATAATATTTAGTAATTTGTTCTGACAGCACGATGCAGAGGACTCGCGTTGTCGGGGCAGCTTAGGTCAACCAGTTACGAAGCAAGAACAAAGCCCGAGAAGCTCCTGCAGGCCCAGAAGCAGCCCAAAGGCTTGTTCTTAATTTAGACTTCTAGGACAGAAGCTCAGAGCACCGACAATTATCCTTCCACAAAAGGACGGGCATGAAGCTCTTAAGCAGCTTCTCTCCCTAGCAGGAATTTTGGATTTAATTTCTACATGCAATACCTAGACCATTAGGTGTAGCAAGCCAGAAGAGCAGAGGTTTCTGAATTTTGCTAACGTATCTGGATTCCTATTCTCTTCTAGGAAAGTTAACAAATTGGGGCTTCTGTGACACTTTTAGAGTACTGTGCTTTTAAAGATATTTTATAGCAGGCCTTCAAATGTTTCACCCCCCAATTAAACAGTGTCTATAGATATTTAAAATTTTGCCTTAATTTTCTGGCCTTGGAGAATGAAACTATGGGTGAAATATAGGAAGCTTACGAAAGGACTTAAAGGTGCTGGGAAACTTGAAGGAAACATGCAGCATTTATCAGTGAAAGATTCAGCTTTTCCCTAAATCCTCAACCAAGTTTGTACATGAACTAAGAATTGAGCTTCTCGTCTTCCCCCCACCCTTCACAAGGTAGCAGCTAAGGAGAGAAATTTAAAAACAACAACAAAAACCTTAAAGCTTTAAAACACGTCTTCACTTAAATAGTTGGTTTTTTTTTTTTTTTTTGAAATGTTTTATTATTTAAACTTCAGCTGCAACTTTATCATCTCACTTGAAAACTGGCAAATAAAAGCAGTTGTAAAGCTGTAAATGGGATGCAAAGAGGATTCAATGTTTATCCAATGAATCGTGATTCACTTTCTCAGCAGTAGGTTCTCCTACACCACAGAGAAAAATACATTCTGTAGATATAAAACAGTAAAACTCTTAGTGCTTTTTGTCTGCCAAATATCCCAGTTAGAAAAACTATGCACAATCTACATGCACTTTTTATTTGGTCTGGAAAAATGAAGGCAAGCTCAAGGAACTCAACCCTCAGAGTTCCTTAGAAGGATCTTAAGGCAGACACCCAAGGAATGTCCAGTTCTCGGCATCCCTGGGCTCCACATCCCTGTCCATGATCAGATTCCCACAGGACAGCAATTCCCAAGCCCACAGATGAGGTGGTGGCTGCAGTGCAGGACCTGCAGCTTTGCTGGGCCAGAGCAGGTCACCTGTAGCTACCTTCCTACTGGAAAAACAAGGTTTCCAAGAAAGCTTCATGTAGCCACAGCAGAGTGGTTGAGGCAACAGGATTAAAAGTTACTGGAGTCCCACTGAAGAGGTTTGAAACTGGCTAACTACAGGTGAGCCTGAGAAATTATAACTCCCAAACCCACAAATGCACCTTCATGAATGTGCTTTCTTCTTGCCTCAGATGTTACTCGCCAAGCAACTACACCACATGCATACTGCTTTGTATTCTATATATGACATGAAGTCAGAGGTAGTATAATCTCATCAACAAAAATCAGTGTATTGGACAGAAGGTCTTAGGTGCTAATCTAGCTTCATCAGCCAAGTTTTGCTTCTGCAGGACTTCTGTCAACTTCAGTGGAAATTGTGCTATGAATCTTTTTACCTGCTCATCAGAGATTCAGAATGTGTAATGAATTCAAATATTTTGCCATTTGGGGCAAGTTGCATTTTGGGGCAAAAATTACACTGCCCCCCTCCAATGTTTTTGTCTTTCACTCCTTTAGCTCCCCATGTTTAATAAATTAAGATTAATATACATTACCTACATCACAAAATGCTGTTCATGAATATCAAATCAGATAAGGCCTGTCAAGTACTTGGATCAAAATGTAACAGTACATGCAACATATGTGCATGTATTTTTACCTTACAGGACTTGTAGAAGTCAACTATTTATGTATATCCAAAGTATACGGTTCTCTCCTGGAACTAGCAGGCTGTAGAAAGTATGCATTATAACAGGAGGAAATAAACTTGAAAAAGAAAAAGAGCAAAAAGCACCTAGAAGCCCAGTGCAGCAGTAAACAAACTAATAGCAAGAATTCCTTTCTCACTTCCTATATGCTTCAAGAGTGTTTGCAATGGTCACCTGTAAACTTTAGCAATATAAAATTCTGTTTAGGCTACTCACAGATTCTTCACTTCAACACTTAACCCACATACCCACATGCTGCTGTAGCTTTCACTTCTCCTCTCCCTTTCACCCACACACCCAAAAGCAAATTGTATGGAAGGGATTTTTAAAATTCTGACCAAAAAATAGAAATATCTTTGGCAATGTATTTAATCTGAAAAGAGACCACAACAATTCTGCCTTGTAAGTTATACTTTGAACTAATTCCTAAGTGTTATATTGCTAAGGTAAGTGAGAAGTGCACTATATCCTTCTCACTGCAAAATCTTGTGTTTCTATTCAAAACCATTTTCCAATAACCTTCTGTACAACAGAGACAAAAAAATGGATCTCAGTCATTCCTGCATACCACTTTTTGCAAGTATGTTGACATGCTCCATTACTTTGTTCTTCTCTCATCTGTATGCAGCAGCTCAGCTTCCTAAATGCCAGCTCTTTGGTTTGAATATAAACACATGAAGTGAAATCAAGTATGTGACATGACAAAAATCAACCAGGTATTTTAAGAGAGACAGAAGGATGACTAATAAAAACTGAAAGGTATGGCCTGTTTTCCTACCAAATGCTACAAATATGCCGTGACCGTGGTATAGCAGTAGAAAAAGCAATAGAAATTGCTTTTTTTGTTGTTTAAACATTGTGATTACTGTTAAAAAGAGGAAAAAATCTACAATCTACAATATTTCTTAAGCAATATTATAGCATGATCAATATTAAACTTGAAAATGCAAGAAATGATAGCATTCTGATAAAAAGACTTTCTAATTAGTGTATATCTTGAAGAAATTTCAATTTCAAAAAATTTAAGAAAACCTCACATTTCCATTTTAATATCCGCAATTCTGATTTAAAATGTTTAATCTCTCTTTCATATTTAGGTCTTCAAAGCTGTGTAGGTTTTGGGCTGGAGTATTTTAGCCTTGGTCTTTCTGCAATCTCAAAAACTTGGAAGGAAGAGGCTAGAAAGAGAAGGCATCATTTTTCAATTGGCACTCCAGAGACCATGTGCATGTCTCAGAAGAGCCAAACATACAGACCTTTAGTTTTCATTTGGGTTATGTGCAGTGTTCATGTGGGTTTTATTAATCAAGTAAGAAAGAGCTCTTATTTCTTTCTTACCATTTACAAATGTCAACTACTCAGTGCACATAT